AAAAAAAAAAAAAAAAATTCTTGGTCCTTACAACAACTCAATAGTGAAAAGGCTATTAAACTTTATTCTACATGGGAGGAAACAGAGGCCCAGAGAGGTTAGACAAGCTAACCTGTCTAAGATTGTGCAGCCAGGAAGTGGCAGGACTGACTGTGTGTGTCCTGCTCCTGACTGACTGACTGACTGACTGACTGACTAACTGACAGACTGACTGAGTTAGGGTCTCTCTGTCCCTCTGCAATTGCTTTGCAAAACGGACACAGCCTTGCCCTAGATGATGCTCCACCAAAAGCAGGAGACACAAGCACAATCAGAATGTGCAACACATGTGCCTTACACACAAGCATAGCCAGATAATGAGCTGTGCTTAACATCAAAGCTATGATAGCAGCAGAAGATAGTCACTGTGAGAATTAAAAGAATTATGGTTTTGAACCTATCCAGTGCTATTAAATTTAAGGGTGTATTGGTCAGCTTTACTTACTTACTTTAAATATGCACTTAAATTGCATTTGAGCCCCCAGATTCACCTCTACAGACTTCTCCTCCGCTTTTCAAAGCAATATGCATCTGTACCTACCACATTGACATGCCCTGGGGCAAACTACTGATCTATCCCCAGATCCCCGGGCTTTACCCTCCTCAATGCTTCACAGACTTCCAACTGCCAGTCTCTGCATCTTTGAGGACTTTTCCCAGAATCACAGAAGACCAGTCTGCCAGTCATGGTCCAAAAGCACCTAAGAACTAACACCCCTCTCCAGGGGCCCTCAACCAAAGATTTCAATGGTATAAAACTCTCCTACCAATTCTCAGTGGTACAGTAACTCTGAGGAATGTGTTTACATTGTTTTCCAGAGCTTCTCTGTGGGACTGTGCTCCAGGGACCCACTGTGGGGGCAGGTTTGACAACACAGTTGGATAGCCACTTTCTCTTCCCTGTATCACTTCCTCATTCCCTGCTGCTATACCCTGAACCTCTCAACTCACCGACTTGCTTAAACCTTTACCTTGCAGTCTGCTTCTGAGGGATCACAAATGAGGACGAGTTTGGCTGCAATGAGTGCACCAGCAGAAGCCGAAGGATATTTCATTCCATACCACACATGCATGTACGCACAAGTTCCCTGATGGCAGACTGTAACTTTGACCCAGAAATCCTAAGTCCTGGGGGAGGGAAGTTTTCTGTGTCCAGGTTCTAGGACCTGCTCCTTCTGCTACCCTTTCAGACCCCAGACCATAAAAAGAATGCCACCTTTATTAGTCCTGAGGTCCCACGGTATTCCTTCTGACTACTCTCCACCCCACCCATAACTTTGCAAATACTTGCTGACATTAAACTTGTTTCAAATTATCAATTTTAGCCCACCATCTGTTTCCTGTTGGTACCATGACTGAGTCAGCAGGTTTGATGACTTCCAGTTATGAAGATGAGTGGGGAGGACACAGGCGATGACAAAGACGGGGCAGGAATGGAAGAAGCAGAGCGTAGCAAAAGGTAAACTGCTATGGAAATATTTGGAGGGTGGAGGGAAATATTTGCATTAGTTATCCATTGTTTCACAACAAAGTATTCCTAAATGCAGGATCTCACAGTTCCTGAGAGTCAGAAACCCAGAAGCCTCTTAGTTCGGTAGGTCCAGCTCTGGCTCTTTCACAGGGTTGGAATAGGGCTGTTGGCTGAGTCTATGCTATCTCAGTCCTCAAGTGGAGTTGGAGAATGCAGTTCTGAGCTCATTTGCTGGCTGCTGGCCAGAGGCTTCAGCTTGCTGCTACACAGGTTTTGCCTTCAAGCTGCTTGCAAAATGACGACTGGCTTCTCCAAACGGCTAATTCAAGAGTTTGTCTTTGTGTGTGTGAACAAGTGTGCATACACACATCCACATGCTACAAAGAGACCACCAACACGGAAACAACAGTTTGTTGTAATCTAGTCTTAGGAGTGCTGTCCCATCACTTTTGCCACATCCTGTTCGTCACAAGGGTGTGAATACCACAGCACAGAGGCCGCTGAAGGTCAGCAAGGAGGCTGACTGCAAAGGGGCTCAAGAGTAACAAAATCGCCCATTGAAATTCCCTGTGAGAACAGAAAGATTCTCTGATGAGACTCGGCAGCTAGAAGAGTTTCCCAGAAGCATGATAATCATAAGAGGCACTGGAGAGAACACTTCAGAGTATGCACAACATGGCAAATTCCAATTGACCGAAATAACAAAAGACATCAACTTAGTGACCAAGAAGTCTGAGCACTAATTTCTTCCTCTGTCTGAACCTGGCTTCTGCTTGTAAATGAAAGGACTGCACCACGCTCTGAGGCTTAGTAGCAAATAGTTAGCTCTGATTGGGTGCTCCACTTTACCCACTTCACTTTTATGAACTTGTTTTATCCCCACAGCAAGGCACAAAGCTTGTTTGGAGGAGTCCTTGGCACCATTCCAAATGGGCTGGGCTCTAGCACAGCAGTGTGTCCTCCTCAGCCAGAACTGGAGCTCTGAAGGTCTGATTAATGTGTTTGGCAACTGGCTGCTCTTTCTGTAGGCCTCTTGCTTTCCTGTGTGGTAATCATGCTTTGTCAGTTGCAGTGAAGTAAATGAGAGATGGAACAACGTAACTTCATCCCCTTTTCTCAAACTAAGAACGTCCTGGTCCTTTCCTAAATCTTTCCATTTTGACCACAGGGGGAAGAAGCAGTATTAGTAGTGATTTCCAAGGAAATAATCTGAATTCAGTGACATCATGAAGTGAATTGTTCCCTGGCCCAAGTACAGCCTCCCTGTTCCACAGCCCCTTGCCACACGTTTCGTGTTATGGTCTATGTACAGTGATGCTCCAGAGCTAACAGAAAATGCCATAGGTCCTACCTTCAACATAGATCTAGAATCCCTGATCACGACACTGAGACTGCCTGCCTGGATGACTATAGCGCTCTCCTAACTGCTTTCTCCTTCTCTCCTTGTTTCCCTATTCCCAAAACATTCCCAAAATAATATTCAGAGTAATCTATGTAAACTAGATTAGATTATGTCACTGCTTGGTTTGAAATCGTGTAATGAATTTCCATTCCCCACAGAGCAAAATCCAACATCCTGTAAATTCCCTCAAAATCCCACATAAGCCAGGCATGGTGGATCATGTCTGTAGTCCCAGCACTCTAGGAAGCTGAGGCAGGTGGATTCCAAGTTCAAGTATAGTCTGGGCAATTTAGCAAAACCATGTCTCAAAGTAAAACATTAAAGAGAGCTGGGGCCGTATCTCAGTGCAAAGGCCTGGGCTCAATCCTTAGTACTAAAAAACAAACAAACAAAAACCGTGCCACATAAACAGCCCTTGCTGTTCCTATGATCTCTGGTGCCTCATCCTCAAGAGCCCTCCTTCTGCTCACTCTTTAACAACGCTTGGCCCCCTTGCTGTTCTTTGGGCCTTCTTCTGTCTTTGCTCGAATCTGACCTTCTCCTGTGGTCTACCCTTTTGCTCTATAATTCCAAGCTTCCTTCCTTCCTTCCTCCATTTCTCACTCATCTTCTAAAAAAAGGAATTGTTGGGGCTGGAGATTTAGCTCAGTGGCAAAGTGCCTGCCTGGCAAGCACAAGGTTGTGAGTTCAATTCCTGGTACCAGAAGAAAACCAACCAAAAAAAAAAAAGAAAGGAATTGTTTAAAAATTAAAAAGAATAATTTTTTTAGTTGCTGCAGCTTTAGTTGCAAGTTCCAGGCAGTTGAAGACAGTACTCATCCATTCAACAGCTGTTTACTGAGTGTCTGATCTGTGAAAGGCACTAAGATAGGGAGGAATTCAGTTTTCAATTCTTGTTTTCAGGTCCAATAAATTTTAAGTTGTTTGCAAGTTTGCAGGATTCTGCTGATGTCAGTGGGTTCACTCAGACATCATCAGTCAGCTGTTAGGGCAGGGTCCCGGGCCCTCAGCTGACCTTGGCTGGCTTCAATTCTTCCACTCAGTTCAGCAAACAGTCAGTGGGTGATCTCCTAGAAGCAAGCTGTGAAGTTTGGTAGTAAGCTCTGCGGAGATGGAGAACCAGCCAAATATACAGCAAAAGCAAGAAACTTGCTATCAAGACCTGAGTTCGAACCTTGGCTTCACCTGTAACTCCTTTCTATCTTAAAATAAGGGGAGTGCAGTAATTCATCTCTAAGGTGATCTCTAAGGTCACTTCTGGCTCAACCCATGATTTCACCCTCATTTCACCGAGTCATAGCCCCTTTCAAAAGAGCATATGGCCCTGGGCTGTCCCTCGCACGTCATCCTTTCAGGGGCTGGGACCGTGCCCTAAGCAGCAGCAGCAGTTAAGTAACAGCTAACTCACTCCCCAAGGTGATTGTAAAATGATGTACTGAAAACACATACTAATTAAAAAATAGAAAAAAAGAAGTGGGCATCATAAGTCTTGGAGACCAAATCAGGTGTCCTCTGGAGCCCCAATTTCTTCTTCTCCTTCTTGGATCACTGCTGCCCAGGGTCCATACTAGTTGTACCCTGGGAACTCCACTGTTGTTGACTGCCATTCACCAAGCAACAAGGTCTTAGCCTGCCCAAGTGGAGACCTGGAAGTCACTAGGGAAGAAGGTTAAACTGACACCTCTCTCCCTGCTCTCCCACTTTCCTCACCCATCTCCACTGGGCCATCTCCTTCAATTTGTCTCTCTACTATTGGGTGCAAAATGTGCCCACCACCTAGCAATCAGCAATCAGGAGACATGGGACACAAACTTTATCGCTGGCTGTACAGATACATAATGTCCTTGATTTTACCTTGAACTGCAAAGTTCAAAATACTTACTCTATAGCCCTTTACAGGAAAAGTTTCCAAATTCTTGAGCTATAGCATAACCTACTGGAGAAGAGGGTATGGAGTAGTTAAATGGTCTGGGTTCAGTTCCAACCTCTTTCACTTATTGGTGCCTGCCTCATTGGTTGCTTGTATGTATGTGTGCCCATCAGGTAATGTTAGCAAATTTAGCAGTGTGTGCATGTAATAAAGATGTTCAGATGTAACCATCAAACAAAATGTATTGTGCGCCTTCCTTGGGCCAGGTTCTTTGCTAGGCCTTCACAAAGCACATATCCAGAAAGAAGATAGATCTGCGGGGTTCTAAAATTTTTTTACTAGTATATATTCTCAGTACACAATGATTATGCTCATTACACATCTCAGTTCTTTTTCCCCCTTCCCTCCACATTCTTTTTTTTTTTTTGGTACTGGGAATTGAACTCAGGACTTTGTGCTTGCTAGGCAGGTGCTGTGCTGCTGAGCTATATCCCTGGCCTTCCCCCTTTCATTTTTCAAGCATCAGATTCATTTATTTATGTCATCATAAAGTTAACTAGCATATTTACAAATTAACAACCAGATGAATAGGCCAAAACACGTAAAACACATAAGACAATTGCCCTAAATCAAGGTATACTTTTAGATACATTGTCCTTTCTGGATAACCGTAACTTCTTTCTCTCTCTTTTTTTCCTGTTACTTATTTTGCAATTTATATATTTTTTCATGTAAGAGAAACCATGTGCTATTTAAGCTTGTACGTCTGATTTACTTCACTTATCATTATGGTCTCAAAATCAAAACAATCCAGTATATAAATTGCTCTAACAGGACACGGTTACGGGACAAAGACAAGCATGGCCAACTCCCCTTCTGTAAGGTTAAGGTTTCACAGAGGAAAGTATTCCATGAGTTGGCAGGCACATAAAAAGGTTATTCTTAGCTGACAGAAATGCACATATGCAGGACCTTGAAGGCATAAATAAAACTACGTGTTCTTATTAGTGAATCAACAAAAGAGGCCTTGAGTGCAGTGTGGTGTGTTTGGAAGTTGAGACTGAAAAGGCATGCAGCGCCTTTCCCTCTATCCCAAAAATTGGGGATTTGTTCTGCAGGTAATGGAGTCACTGACAGAAGCCAAACAACACCCAAAAAGGATCAAGATCAAAATATGGTGTCCCAGAAAGACCACTCGGGCTCAATGCAGAAAGCAAGTAAGGTAACACCGGGGAAACTGCAGTAAGTTTAGGAGAAAAAACAGTACAACTCTGAATCAAGACAGTGGTTGTGAAAATAGAGGAGCTATTGAGACGGTGGAATCAAAAGAAGCGAGCCATCCAAGAGGTTCCCAAATTTTTGGCTGGGGCAAGTAAAGGCACAGCTACAGTGGGTGGGGCAGGCACATGGGAAAAGATAATCTCTGGAGGAAAAAACCTCCCGAAGTTCAGTCCACGCAAAGGGTTTCTGAGAATGACGGCATGCCTGCAGCCCTTTGCTGTGTTTACATTCGGGAAACTGGCTTTAGCTAGCTCCACCACCACATTTCCTGGGTGGGGCTCCCAGCGGGGCCAAATGGGTGTTGAAACAGTGGCTTTTTTTTCTTTTCCTTCTGTTCACTTACTATGACTTTTAGATGAGTTTGCAGATGTAGCACAGGAAACCCTATGATTAATGCAGTTTTCAAGCACGAAGCCAAGAGTGGGGAAGGCAGCCCTGGCACATGGCCAGCCATGGGTACAGCATTTCTCCAGAACTCCAAAGTTGTGGAAGACTCCAAGCCTTTGCCATGAGAGCTCATTTGGTCAAAGTCTAGCTCTCAGTTTTTTTCTGTTGTTACTGTGAATTATTTTTGAGAGAAATGAAACCATTCTAGGTTTTTCACATGTTGTCATATTTCATTTCTTAGATGTACCTAGTATTTTATGGCTTATAAAGTGCTTCCACAGCCATGATGATTTTTTTTCCACCAAGACAGGGATATTCTCCCTATAAAGCAAGATTCATAGATGTAAATGGCTTTATTAAGAACACATAGCTAGAAAGTGCCAAAGCCATTTACCCAGATGTGACAATAGTCCACTTTGGCAAAACGATAGGGAAAATGGAAGACTTATATATTTATAGTGAGCATGTAAATTGTTCCAGCTGTGTCAATATTTATTAAATGTGGTTATTCTTTGATCCCACAGTTTAACTTTTGGTTCTCTTTTTGTTTTGTTTTTTTGAAACAGAGTAGCCCATATGGCCTTAAACTCTCAATTCTCCTGCCTCAGCCCAAATTTTGAGTCTCCGTCTTGAGCTGAGCTCACCCTGGAAAGCAGAAGTGAAAATAAAGCTTTCAGGCAGGGAGCCAACTTGCAGCTCAAGGCTGGGAAGAATGAAAAGGCAATTATATTACTGAACTAGCCACCATTTTGTGCAACAAGAGTGTAATCTTGCTGGAGTCCTCAAAGGAACCACAGAGAACGTCTGAAAGAAAGAAAGCTGGGCATTTATACACAGAATCTCACCCTATGTTGGTCAAAGATTAACACACAGAATGTTAACTCTTTCATACTCCAGGTTTCTCAAGTGAATTCCAAGAGATATCACCAAAATGCATAAGTGATTACTAAAAATGAAAAGATTAGGGGAGATACTGGGAGCTAGAGATAGCAGTGGGACCTAGATCTCCAAAGTCAAGCAAATTTTCAGTCTGGTGTCTCTAGGGCTCTATAGAACTGGAATTAGGCAGAATAGGTTCCAGACCCCTTGAAGTTGGGGAGAGGAGCCCGGCAAAAGATAACAAAAGTGCTTTAGTTCTCTATTGTGGAACACTCCATATTCCACAGCACAGTGTTCAGAGAATACCTGATATCCTGCTATGCAGTGCTGCCAATTGTCAGAGGACAACAGAGACCATACTCAACCTCAAGACCAAAGACAAAGTTAAACAAATGATTATCAAAAGGCAGTCCTTTTCCAATTGAGTGGGCATGGGAATTCATCTGAAGCTTGCTATACATTTGGACCACTGGGCCCCACCCCCAAAATTTCAATTGGAATGTGGAGAGCTGCACATATAAGCCTACATTCATAATCTTTGAAATCTATACATATAAGCCTACATTTATCATCTACAGTTATAAATCCCTCAGGCAATTCTTATGTAGGTGATTCTGAACTACACTTGAGAAACACTGCCCTCAGTCTAAATCCTGAGCCCTATGAGGGGAGGATGTGTTTCATTTATCTCTGGCTCCCTCTCCAATACTTACCACATCACAGGGACTACATAATTGCCCACCAGTCCTCCAAAAAGCATCTGTTTCACAGGGGTCATGTAAAATCTATGGCATCTCTTCAGGGTTCTGGTACTTCATTTTGCCAGGGAACCTATGTCCAGGAAAGGGGATTCAAAACCAGTAACTCAGTAGAGATTAGGTAAACCACAAAGCTGAAGAGCTTATTAACATGAAGTAATTACAAGTTAGCTGGCTAATAATATATTTTCTTCTAACAAAGTCCACCTATGAAAATAAATTACTACTAGGCTGTTGCTTGGTAAACAAGAAGTCTGAGTAAATGCAACTTGAAGACTTTTAGGCTTAAATTGTTACCGTGCAATACAATTCATGGAAAAAATATGTATGTAAATATGGAAGCACTGAATAACCATGACAGCATTATATAAATGTAAGGTATTATTAACATCACAATATCAGAAAATATACTGGAGGTGGCTGGGGATTTAGCTCAGCGGCAAAGCGCCTGCCTGGCAAGTGCAAGGTCGTGAGTTCGGTTCCCGGTACCGAAGAAAAAAACCAAAACCAAAATAAATAAAGAAAGAAAGAAAGAAAGAAAGAAAATATACTGGAGGCATTATACCCAGAGCGAGAATCAAATGAAACTATGTAAACTTTTGACACATTATTCTGCGTTTAATTCCTTCTCAATATTTTATTAACAGTTTTCAGGCCCATTCTGCTGACAAACGCTAACATTAGACAGACAGTAAATTATAGAATGCGAGGTCAGTGAGAAAAACACAGACGTGGTGGCTGGCAACATTGGTCCCAGTCTCTGTGACGCATTTTAGGTGGTTATCTTACATATCTAAGCCCTAGTTTTCACATCAGAAGAACGTAGACAATGTCTGCCAACACTGCTTATTTGTTGATTTCCCTTTTTCATTCATTGTTACTTATTAAATGCCCACAACACAGTGCTAATTTTAACCACTCAAAACCTGGAAATGAAGGAGCTCACTGTCTACGGAGTTGCAAAGGAGATAAAGCAAGCGAAGTTTACTATGGGTCACTGGCAAGACCGTCAGGAGAAAGCGCTACTGTAACTCCTCTTGTCAGTCCCACCGAAGTTATCCCTTCGTGACCTTCCAGCAGTTTCCTGGATATGTGCCTAGAATGTGGAGACACGGGAAGGCCATAACAAAACAAAAGAGTGGCCCTCCTTTCTGGACGAAGAAAAGCAGAGCAACAAACCTGTCTGGATTTGACCTACTAGCCTGGACCTAAAGGCATAAAGGCATGAGTTGGCACCTGATGCTTAAAGAAATGGTGAAAACGGCCGAAGAGTAGGAGGGAAAAAAAACCTCCGGCTGCGCACGCGCACTTGGATTTTCAACTGCCGCAAAGCCCTACCGGGACGGAAACCTGACGACGTACTTTACGTACAAACACGTAAGGCAGGGGGTGGGGAAAAGCTGCGGGCCCTGGGTCACGTGAGCAGCGGGAGGGCGGTTGGCTCCTCCCTCCCCAAGATGGCGTCTTTGCTGCAATCGGAGAGGGTTCTCTATCTAGTTCAGGGAGAAAAGAAGGTTCGAGCCCCGCTCTCGCAGCTGTACTTCTGCCGCTATTGTAGCGAGCTGCGGTCGTTGGAATGTGTGTCTCACGAGGTAAAGGAGTCGTCGGGGGAAGGCTATTGTGGGGGGGTTCATCCTAGTCACTGCAACTGGGGGAAGTTCCCCTGTTGGGGGCGGGCAATTGTTTTTCCTTGCTTTCTGATTGGTTGTTCCTCCCGTCACTCAACGTTGCTTGCGATTCAATTCGCTTATAAGCTGTCATTTGGAAAGGAAGTCCGGGTGGGGTTGAACGGGTTTTGCTTCTAGAGTGGCCTCTGGTTGGACAAATTTGACTTAGACCCTGGCTGGCTGTTCGTGGGCTAGGGAGAAAGGCTGGGGGTACTTAGCTAAGGCCACTTGGGTGAGCTAACCTGTCATTCCAGGATGGATAGGAGAGGAGCAGGCATTCCTACTCCTGGCCCGCCCACCTTGGAAAGTTCTGCCCTTTTGGCTAGAAACCGGGCCCGTCATCAAACTGCTTGCCATGATTCCTGTCTCAGGCCAAGACCTAGAGCAGGGAAGAGATATGGGTGGAGTGAGTTGAGTGAAAAACCTTTAGAATAGTTTGCGGTGGAAAGTCAAAGAGTTTTATTTACGATGCTTCTGAGGGTACTGGTGCCATTCCTCACAGACGCAAGTGGTAGTTGGGATAGGATCACAGCCAGAAAAGAAATAACAATCCCCAAACTTTCATGGCACTTCACGCAACTTGTTCATTCAGTAAGCGTTAGGGATTAAAAGATGAGTAAGACATAAGTCTTGCTATTGAATAATTCAGGTAAAGAAAAACCTGTTAGAAACATTTATTCTGTCCATGTGCTTTACATAATCTCCAAGCCAGTGTGTCGTGCTATAATCCGTTTCTGTCCAGGGTGAACCCGTCCCGAGAATGGGGTACCCTTGGATGAATAGATAAGCAAGAGAAAAAAGAAAAACAAGAGAGACAAAACTCTGGGATCAGGGGGCTAGCAGCTTCTTGGACTGAAGCCCCATTACCATTTTCAGTAACCTTTTCTTGAGAAAGAACAAAGGATGCAGGTATTACAAATGGGAGGATATCAACAAGTTTAGCAAGGACAATACAACCCAATTACCACAGAAATAAGACTTGACTTCGTTAGCCATCCTACTATCATTCCCTCGGGCATATCTCAGCAAAGCATCTAGTGTTGTCCGGCAGCTTTCCACAGGGACACAGCTGCTTCAGTCATTTCCTTTCCACCAATGCTTTTGCTAGGCTTCCTCCGGAACCAAACAATCATATGGGTTGGTCAGGCCTGAGGTAATACATTGAAAGAGTAACTATAGAATTCCCTTCTCCACACCAGTGAAGGTAATGCTTTTTTAAAAAATTAGAAGCAGATACCATGTTTGCTGTACTCCACATAGACAGTAATTTAAAGGTGGGAGGTAAGATCAGGATTTGAACCTGACTTAGAGAATTCTAGTCAAGATCCGAGGGCTGTTAAAATGCATGTTAAAAGTCCTATAATATAGACCATTTTACACATTAATAATTATTTTAGGGAGAGACTCTTCATAATATTAAGACTAGTCAAGGAAAGCATTTAAAGAATACAAGAAAATCAATGCCATATACCATACACTTACGTTTTTTGTATGTCATATATATGGTTTTTCTTATATTCTCTATTAGCAGCTTGTGTATATTGCCTTGGCAGGTCCTTTCTCACTTAGATGTTTCCCTATTCCAGCCACACCCCCAGAACACACTGGATCAGATTTCCTGTGGTAGGCATTAGGAAACTCAGTCTTCATGATCTCTAAGGATCTCTTCAGCTAGGCAGTGGTGGCAAACCTATGGCACACGTCCCACAACGGGCTGTTTGTTAGCACTGGTAGCTCTAAAAGGTGCCTCATCACTGAGCGAGGACATCCAGACCGCATCTTTTATTGTGTGGAGCATACCTAAGATGCAGAAGCCATTAGAGTTTGGGAAGGGTGAGGCAATCCCCAAAGTTCTAATGGTAAATCTGAGTCTGAAGCTGCACATGAAGGAAAAAGCAGAATTTGGGAAAGGGGTCAGAAAGGAATGCTTGTATTTTGCCTTTTATCATGTGTCAGTGTGAATTTAGTTAGCAGTACTGTTTTATATTAAGTAGCAACTTTATTGATGTTCACAAATTGGTCCTGGTTGTACTAGATGATGATAAAACATCTAGGCATAGTGGTGCACACCTGGTAATCCTAGCACTTAAGAGGCTGAGGCAGGAGGATCACCATGAGTTCGGGGCCAGCCTGGGCTACATGTTAAGTTCAAGACCAGCCTGAACTACATAGCAAGACCCTGTCTCAAAAAAAAAAAAAAAAGAAAGAAAGAAAGAAAAAAGGAAGAGAAAGTGACAGGTGAATAAAGAATAAACCCTAAGCCTGAGCAGCGAGGTTTTTTTCTTCAAATCAGTAAGTGGTTACTTGCTGAGGTATAACATATTTTAAAGTACAAGGGGCTGGGGATTTAGCTCAGCGGCACAGAGTCTGCCTGGCAAGTGCAAGGTCATGAGTTTGATTCCCAGTACCGGAAAAAAAACCCAAAACAAAAAAAAAAGTACATTATTTGATTTTTTTTTTTTTTATCTTTTTGAGACAGGGTCTCACTATGCAGTTCATACTGGCCTTAAGCTCACTTTGTAGCTCAGGCTGGTCTCAAACTTGGCAGTCATCCTCCCACCTCAGCCTCCCAAGTGCTGGGATTACAGGCATGCACTGCCACACCCGGCTATTATTTGATATTTATAGGAGCTAAATTCAATTTTTCTTTCTCTGATTTTTGGATTGCATATTTCCTATTAGGTGGACTCCCATTATTGTCCCAGTTGCTTAGAAAATATGCCATCAGCTGAAGCCAAACTAAAAAAGAACAGGTAAGTACAGGACCATTTATTCTGTTTTCCTCAAGTATTTTTAAAATATCTAGTAAGGAAACTAATTTTCTTTTTTAAGCAGCTTTTTTCCATTTTTTTAGTGTCACCATGGCCTATGATTAAATGTCCTTTGATTTTTAAAATAAATGTTCTATTTTGGAAGAGTTTTATACTTAAGAATTATTTTTGAGGATAGTGCAGAGTTCCTACATCCAGTGTCCCCTATTGTGTCTCCTGAGGTTTTGCTTGGCTGTGATAGTTTATTAGACTATCTTTGATTTTCATGATCTTGAACGCTTTGACCAATTGGGATCTGTGTGATATTCTCATGATATTGGAGATGTGTTGGGGAGAAAAACCACAGAAGTAAAGTGCCACTTCTCATCACATTGCATCAAGGATAAATACTGTCAGTATGATTTATCACCGTGGAAGTTAACGTTGACTGCCTAGAATTTCTCTTGTTTCTCTATTCTAATGCTACTCCGTGCACCCCCAGTACTGTGCTCTCTAGAAAGAAAATCACTATCACAGCCCACACTTAAGGGTGGAAAGTTAGATTTCCCTCCCCTTAAAGTATGTCTGCATAAGTATTTAGGCTTTCCTTGCATGGAAGATCTATTTTTTCTTTATTTTTTATTTAATCATTTACTTAAAAATACTATGGACTCATGAATATTTATATTTTGAGTTATAATTCCATAGAGAGATGGATTCCCCCCCTGAATATGTTCCAACTGTAGCCTTGGAGAGTTCTTTCAGTTTGCTTCTATATCCGTTTTACATACCCCCTCATTGGGCTAGGGAGAATATTCTTCTGTTCAGTAGGCTGAGTGCCTTCCTACCAGTACTTTAAGGTATTCCAAGCTCAGCTGGTATATTTTTCTGCTCCAGAATCAACTTTCTCAAAGGAGCCTGGGTTCCTTTTATCAGAGAATGAAATTAGATTCTGCCACACGTGCTCGTTGCTACTGGATGCCATTTAGTCTTCGCATTGGTGTAAGAGTGCTTTTGTTAGCAGTCACACTCCTGTCCTTGGATGTGAACTCTTTTCTTCCCTGCCTCAGGAAATAGCCTGTGATAATGAGATTCTGTTTTGTATGCTTTCCACAAGTTAATTTTAACATTTAATCCTCAAAATATGTGTGTGAGGGGGATACTATTATTATCCTTCCTGGAGAAAAATATTCAGATAGCAAAATATTACAGATAATGGAAGTAGTTTAAGACAGGATATGAAATCTTAATAATCTTAGGTGGTAAAAGAGTTAAAGCAAGAGGGTACAAGCACCCTAAAAGAGAACTGTTGGCTGAGCAGTAGGAAGAGTGGTGTCTGAGAAGACAACTGAGAGCCGTGTGAGTGTGCCGCTCCTGAACTATTGCAGTCTGATAGCGTTGTTTGGTATCTGTTTCAGGTTGCTGGCGCAGCAGGTAAGCAGTTATTTTCCAAATCTAGGTTCACAGCTTCTTTCATTGGTTCTGTTTTTCATTATACAATTGATTTGTCTTCTGAAGGAATAAGCTGTGACATTTATCTTTTCCTCAGAAACATTCTTGACCTCTATAAAGCATAAAAAAAATCTAGAATAGTCAGCACCACCTGTTAACAGTGATTCCTTCTTTGCAGTAGAAGTGGGTCTCTCTCTCATCCTTCGTGAACTATGGTGATAATTCCATTTTTTTTTTGAAAAATGAGCATATAATAGATTCAAGATGTTGTTGGTAAGAAGCCCCCTGACAAATATTTTACTTCTTTTTTCTTTTTAAAAATATTTTTTTGGTACCAGGAATCAAACTCAGGACCTTACACTTGCCAGGCAGGCACTTGTGCTGCTGAGCTATATCACCAGCCCTATTTCTTTTTTCTTGAGAGACACTCTTGCTTATATTTGTTCTCTTAAATTTTTGACTTCTAGAACCATAGTCTCGCTGCATTAAAGAAAACAATTACAGACTATAATTATACAATAATAGTACTTGGCTGATAAGTATTGTTGAGTGAGTGAATAGTTGTGTTTGTAACGTCACAGATGCGCCAATTGCTTTGACTGTCCTGGCTGCATGCACACCCTCTCGACTCGGGCAACAAGCATCTCCACACAGCTTCCAGATGACCCAGCCAAAACCACCATGAAGAAAGCCTATTACTTGGCCTGTGGATTTTGTCGCTGGACGTCTAGAGATGTGGGCATGGCAGACAAATCTGTAGGTAAGATGGATGTGAACATGAGATGTTGGGCGACTGTTAGCAGTATAATTGTCTGTGGACCGTTATTTCTGTAACCAATTAGGGCAGTAGGAGCTAAATGTGTTGTTGTTAGGTCTTCTGTATGCCCTTATTCTGTACATCGTGGACCATGATGTTTCTTCTGAGACAGTGTAATACTACTTAGCTTTCTTAGAGTTGGTGAAATACCTTTTACAAATCTGATACTTTCAGGGCTGGGGATTTAGCTCAGCGGCACAGCACCTGCCTGGCAAGCGTAAGGTCATGAGTTTGATTCCTGGTACTGGAAGAAAAACAAAACAACAACAACAAAAAAAATCTGATACTTTCATAGAATTAGACTATTTTTTAAAAATGAATATTCCTGATGTTGAAACCCAACAGGGACAAAATTAAAAGATGAAAGTTACAAACTAAGAAAAATAGACTAAAGATTAATAACTAAAGCTGAGGAAAGCTTATAAATCAGTAAAGGAGAAAACTCAGGAAACCAGGCAAGGAGTATGAGCAGCAGCTCTCTAACAGAATAAAGATGGTTAGTAAGTATGCAAAAAGTCATGTTCAAACTCAGTAATAATCATGGTAAAGCAAATTAAAGCTTCATATCTTTGGAAAAAATTTTTAAATCTGGTTATTTTTAAATCTGGTTGATTATAAGAAAAGAAAGTAGTTTTCTCATACCCTCCTATTTTAGAGAGCAATTTGGTATATATTAAAGTTTTAAATTGCTTTTATCCTTCTGCCCAGAAGTTCCATGTCCAGCTATACTCTAGAGTATCCTAGAGCAGCCAAACATGCAAATAGCAAATATATGTAGATGTGTGATTGTGTGTGTGTGTGTGTGTGTGTGTTTGTGTGTACACATACACAGTCTGCCAAAAGAATGTATGAACAGACTTCAGGAAAAAAACTTGTATAAATATTTTAATACTAAATATCTTGAGACATCATGAAATTAATACAAGTTACCTTTGGCCTCTACAATTACAAGAGGTGCTCAAAGTGGTGGCCGTTAGCTTCCACACATTTAGTATGGCAGCTGCTGGGTAACCTTGGGCACTGAGATTGCTGCACATGGTTTTCAGTTTCTTCTCTAAGGACCAGCAGTACAATGGGTTTTCTGCAATACATGGCATCTGCTAGGGTCCCCCATACAAGGGTAACACCATCTGTTGAAAAAATATCGTATTGTTTTTCCTTTCCTAAAGTGTGTATACATTTTTCTTTATATTTATTTATTTATCAGCAAAACAAAAAATAATTGTGTCTGTCTGGATTTAAAGACCACGTCTTACAGTCAGTCCAAAATTGTGAGTTGATTTTATGTTTTGTACAAACAGTAGCATTGCTAATCCCTATTGTCATTTTCCTTACTTTCTGAAATTTAATTTTATTTTTTTTTTTTGGTTTTTTTTTTTTTGGTTTTTCTCCGGTACCGGGAACCGAACTCACGACCTTGCGCTTGCCAGGCAGGCGCTTTTGCCGCTGAGCTAAATCCCCAGCCCCTGAAATTTAATTTTATGAAAAGTTTCTACTTATAAAAATTATCATTTTCTATTTTCATAGAAATTACAGCTTACAAATAAATGGGAAGCCCATAATATACTCATTACATGTCATTTTATATATCTAAAATGAAGATGGACTGTAAGTAAAACCTTTCTGTAGGCTTTTACACATTTGGAAATAAACGTGGATGAAATTTCTTTCCTTTTAACTGTTTTTGAAATTATAATCCTTGATTCTGTGCTATTTCCATTTGGTTACAATACTTCAGCTCTTGATTGTTTTTCTGACATCATACATTGTTTGAATAAAATACATGCTTTAAAAAAGTTAAACAACTATACTTTAGTTCTTTAAAAATGTTTGTTGATGGGTCGATATTTACCTAAAATTTGATATAATTTTTTCTAGCAGTGCTGAGGATCAAACTCAGGCCCTACAAATGTTAGGCAAGCAGCCTGCCCCTGAGCTATACCCCCCAGTCCTTGTAATTTATATTAGAAGGATTCTATAGCATCTTTTTAGATTACCACTAAATATTTGGTTTTGTTTTTGTTTTTCTTTTGTATTATGTTTTAGCATCAGTGTGGCAGATAAGTTAGAATTTGTCAAAGAGTTTAAATTTAATGTCAAAAGCAACCTTAAAGTGGCATGGTATATACCTCAGGAAAAATACAGTTGTATTTATTTTCCTTTTATCTAGTGAAAGAAACAAAGCCCAGAAAACCAGATAAATGTTTGTTACTTTGTAAGTAAATGTTTTAATGCCTTTTGGAGACTTTATGCTTCAGGATTTAAAAAACCTGTGATGGCTTCTGGGAAGCTATCTCCGCTGGGGCATTTTCCTTTGTCCCTCACCTCTAGGCTATCTTCCTCCATGTCATTGGCATCTTAAGAAGCCGTGAAGCTACTTTAGTTAGAACTGTTTGCTTAAGTACTTGTCCATAATGTACAGAAAAAAATGTAATGAGGTCATTGTCAGTCTCCCAAATTGCCGAAGAATAAATTACCAGCTCTGAAGATGCAGTTATAAAGTATGCAGATTTAAAAATATTCTTCAGGATTACCTTAAGGCAACCTTTAAGATTTTCATATTGTATTAAAAGATGTTATTTAAGCCATTACTTGGAAGAAGATTAAATGTCACCTTCAGCGAGGTAATTAAGAATCTTTTTTTGTTTTAGAGAAAAAGTTATTTTTAATTATATAAATAATATATTTAGTACTTATGACCCAGCTTAAGAAATAAAATATAACGAATGGAGTTTCAAGCCCTCATGTAGCCTTCCTCCTGCTGCACCCCTTTTTCTCTCTGCCCCAGCCCACCACACTGAGTTCAGTGTTTACTGATGTCCAGACATGTCCTTATACTTCTCTACATCCGTATATAGCCTCCAGGAATTGTCGATTTTAAGCAGCTGGAAACATACTGAATATATCTTGCTCCCGCTTTTCTTTCAATGTTGTTTCCCATTCATAGTGAGTGGGATGGCTTGCCACAGTATAAGTAATCAGCAACACCACCCCCGCTTTCTTTTTTTTTTCTTTTTGGTCCTACTTGGGAATGAGTCCTCATTCCTCTGCAGCAGCACTTTCCCCCACCTCATGGCCTCTTACTATGCTGATAGGTTCTCTGTCACTGTACTTTCACCTTTCCTAGTTTATATAATTGGAGTCCTATACTACTTTGTCCTTTGTGTCTAGCTTTGGAATAATGGAATAATGGTTTTACATTTGGAATAATGATTTTACATTTTATCCATGTTTTTACTTTATGTTTTTGGGGTTCTTTTGTTTTGTTTTGTTTTGTTTTTCCAAGACAGGGTCTCTCGGGGCTGGGGATTTAGCTCAGCGGCAAAGCGCCTGCCTGGCAAGCGCAAGGTCGTGAGTTCGGTTCCCGGTACCGGAGAAAAACCAAAAAAACCAAAAAAACCAAAAAAAAAAAAAAGACAGGGTCTCTCTATGCAGTTTAGGCTGGCCTTGAGCTCACTTTGTAGCCCAGGCTGGCCTCGAACTCCCAACGATCCTCCTTCCTCCTGCCTCAGCCTCCCGAGTGCTGGGATTACAGGCATGCGCCACCATGCCCAGCTTATTGTTTCTCTTGTGTGACTATTCCACAATTTGTTCGGGCATGTGGGTTAGGTTTTAGTTTGAAACTTAAATGAACGAAACTGCTGTGAACATTTGCCTATGAATCTTTGTGTAAATACATGTTTTCATTTTTCTTAAGGAAATATCTAGGAGTGGAATTTCTGGGTCATAGGATAAATGTATGCTTAACTTAACTAGAAGCTGCCAAACTTTCTCAAAGTGGCTCTGCAATGTGGGGTCCTAAGCAGAACAACAGGAAGATTCGAATCCCTTGGCAACCCTTGATATTTCAGTCCTTTTCACTGTGGCTCTTGCTGTGCATGTATAATGGTACTTGGTTGTTGCTTTAGATTGTGTTTTCTTAATGTTTACTTGCCATGTGAAGTGTCTACTTTTGCCCATTTTTGAACTGCGTATTCTTTTTGGGTCTTTTCATTGAGTTGTAATAGTTCTGTGACATATATTTTAAAAATACTTTTTCTTAGTCTGTAGCTTGCCTTTTCATTTTCCAAATGGTATCTGCTGAAGAACACAAGTTTTTAATTTCAGTAAAATTCAGTCTGTCAGTTTTATAGTTTATGCTTTGTGTGTCTTGTTGAGGGAGTTTCAGCCTAACACGGTGTCACTAGGATTTACCCCTGGGTCTTCGTCTAGATATGGTAGAGTTTTAGGTCTTCAATTCTACTGCCCACTTCAGGGTGGGTTTTGCATCTATTGTGAGGTAAAGATGGAGGGTTTTTTTAAATGTGGCTATTTAAGTGTTGCAGCATCATTTGTTGAAAGTTTTCGTTATGATTTTACTTTCAACTGTCTTGAATAATCTTTTCTTTCATTATTTGTGCCAAGTGTTAATTCTATAAAAGTTCTCTAGTGTCACAGAACATAGGTCTGTGATGACAAACCTTTCAGAGACTGAGTGCCCAAACTGCAACCCAAAACCCACTTACTTTTCACAAAGTGCCAACACTGCAATTAAACCTCAATACCGAGGTATTCGTTTAGAAAAAACAACTGTTATCTGATACTCGGCTGCCGGGGTGATGTGGCTTTCATGGTGACAAAGAGGATGCTGTGTTTCCGTTGCCACATGCGTGCCGTAGGTTTGCCACCACTGACGTAAGATTTATATAATGTTGCAGATAAATATAGGGGCTCCTCCTGGGCATGGTGGTGCACACCTGTCAAACCCAGCACTCAGGAGGCTGAGATAGGAGGATCACTATGAGTTTGAGGCCAGTGAGGGCTATGTAGTAACTTCAAGACCAGCCTGAACTACATAGTGAGATCCTGTCACCACAAAATAATAACAAAAACAAAAAGAATAGGGGCCCTGGAGTCAAACTGCTTGCTTGAGTTTGAGTTCTGGCTTTACCACTTAGTCCCCATGCATTTGGAACAGGTTATTTAGCAGCTCTAAGCCTCAGTTTGCTCATCTGTAAAACGAGACTAATACTAGTAAAGAGTTCCTACCTCAGAAGTTACTACAAAAATAGAAAGCAATATTAACAATTTTCAAGTGCCCAGTATAGAGACTATGCATGGATTGGTGCTGGAAGTAGCGTTATCATTATCACCATCATCATACTTAAAGAAAAAATGTTATTTTGAGTATGCTGATCTATAAAATTTCTAGGATTTTTTTTTTCCTTGGAAATTCTGTGATTTTATGTGTTTAAGTTTGTGTGTGTGTGTGGCCTAGAGATGACCTGTACTTACGAAAAGAAGATGATCAAATTATGAAAGTCTTATTTAATGTTCCTCTGTTTTCTAGCTAGTGGTGGTTGGCAAGAACCAGAAAATCCTCACACTCAACGGGTAAGTAAAGGATCATGCAACAAAGAGGATAAAATAAGAAAAGATAATTGTAAAACACTGAGGTTCTTGCATTTTGTCAGTGGATATAACCTATACCTAGAAATTCAGAATGTATGTTTTGTTATCTGTTACACATAGAAAATGTTTCTCATTATTTTGGGTTAGGTTAGGTTGGGTTGGGTTGGGTTTGGTTTGGTTTGGGTTTCTGAGATGAGGCCAGCTATGTAGTCCAGACTGGCCTGGAACTCACAGTGATTCCTACCTCTGCCTCCAGAGTGCTTAGATTATAAGTGTGCACCACCATGCCCGGTTTAGAAAGAGTTTCTCCTTGTAAGACATTAAATCACATTACCACATTGTTTTCATAAAAATCTTAGTGTAATTTTTTTCTGTAATTGAACTATATGTCAGAAAAAGAAAAGAAAGGAATTTTTTCCTTTTTTTTTTTTTTTTTGCGGTACCGGGGATCGAACTCACAATCTTGTGCTTGCCAGGCAGGCGCTTACACCACTGAGCTATATCCCTAGCCCTAATTTTTGTTTTTCATATACTAATGAGTTAAGATTTCATTTATTCACACATACTCTTGGAAGTACACACATGTAGACACTTCAACCCCTGGAATCACTACTAATTTAGAAAGTACCATTGGACTCAGTAGTGGTTGCTTATAGGATCATGACTTGAGTATCCTTCAGTTCATAATTAAATTGATCTCCACAGTATGTACTGTAGCCAATTGTTTACTCTTCACTTGAACTAGAATATGAGAAAGATGAACTGTTATAGAACTGAAGAATGTACTGTCGGAGTGCAGAGTAATTGACAGTTACTCACCTATGACATCAGCAAAAATTAGAAATACTGAAAATATCCTGGGCAAGAGTATGGACAAAGTAGGTTTTCTCATATATACTACTGTATTAGTGTAGGTTGGTACAGATTTCTTGAACTACTTCCAGGACTCTTATTTACAGAAATAACTTGCATTTTATGCATGCGTGTGTGTGTGTGTGTGTGTGTGTGTGTGTGTGTATGTGTGTGTGTATGAAACATTTGTCAAGTACTTAGCTAGAGGCTTAGGACTGACTATGTTGAACAAATTTGCTGCTATCGTAGGCGTTAAGTCTAATGGAAAAAATGAGAATCCTTAGATTTAAAAAAAAAACCTATGCTAACTACTATGAAGGAACTCTACAGGAATCATGACATGTAAACATTTCGTAGAGTATCTCAACTAGTTAGGTCCACATCTGAGGATTGTTCATGTATGAGGACAACAGGAGCAGGAGGAAAAGAATTCAAAGCAGGAGATTGGCAAATGGCAAAAAGTTTGTAATTGCAGAAAGCAAAAGCATGTACTATAGTACATAAGAAAGGGATTGTGAACCAGGTGTGGTGACATGCACCTATAATCCTAGCACTCTGGGAGGCTGAGGCAGGAGGATCACAAGGTCAAGGCCAGCCTGGGCTATCTAGCTAGACTGGCTTAAAAAAAAAAAACATGGGGCTGCTCACTCAGGACCCGTCCTGTCTCTCAGGAGCTATTACTATTCCCCATTCCCCCACTCCTATTCCCCATTCCTTTCTCCAATAAATTTTCCTATTCTCAAAAGTGAATGAAAGAAATTAATTTTCAATCTTTCTTTTTTTTTCTGTTATTGAAGATTTTAGTTCAGAAAGTAGATCATGTAATGAAGAGAAATTATCTTTAAAGAAAAAAAGGCAAATTTCTCATTCTTAATAATTGGTCTTCTCTTTTATTATGTGCCTAATCAAAATGGCTGATTAATTTTGTGTTTCTGATTATCTTTTTCATGAAACAAAGACTGATTCTTTGATGTCTTACAGATGAACAAACTGATCGAATATTACCAGCAGCTTGCTCAGAAAGAAAAGGTTGAACGAGATCGCAAGAAGCTGGCACGGCGTAGAAACTATATGCCTCTGGCTTTTTCGGTGAGGTTTTGTACAAAAAGGAGTTTGTAAGACCTGTGAGGCATAAGAACAGTGACCACTTCTCAAAATGGTCATTGTCCTAGATTCCTCAGTGGTGGATGGCAGAGATGGTCAAGACCAGCAGTTACACTTTTCCTATATTATTAGTTCTATTTGAATTTTTTGACTGAAGGGGGATATTTGCATTTCTTCTTCACTCCCCTTTCTCTTTTATCCCCCTTCCCGCCCTGCAAAAGGCTACTGTTTATTTTATAGCACTGCAGAACTCTACTTGCAGCTTTTGCATATTGCAGAAAGTCTGAGAAGGGGAAAGGGGGCAAGTGGTAGCTTTTACTCACATTAACCCTTCAGCCCACCTTTGACACCATTGAAGCTCCCCAGCTCGCATCATAATCATGTGTTTTGCATGATCACATATTTTTCCAACATGAGACACACTGACTTTACATAGTGCACTTATATGGTTAAATAAATATTAACATATGCAGGTAGAATTTTTGGCAGAAAGTATTTATGGAAGTCATTCTCTACCACTTTATATACTGCTAGGCAGAAAGAAGAGATTAGGATTTCGGGTTTTTGTTACTGTTCCCCAAGTTTTTTGTTTTGTTTATTATTTGTTGTTGTTGTTTGCTTTCACAGAACGATTTGTTTTCTTTGCGCTTGCTTGGGGCCCTGCAGGTTGATTTAACAAACACTGAGTGGCAGTGACATGTCCACACTGCACTAAGCACTTTTATGTACATTTTATTTAGGCCTCACAAGTGACATAGTAGTATATCCCCACTTTACAGCTCAGATGAGACTTGGAAAAGTTAAGTAACTTGTCAAACTGTGTTTACCTGAGAATTAAGTTAAACTATTAAAACCTTAAGGATTGCTAAAGTCCATAGAGAAATATTTACATTTGAATGTAATAAAACAATAACGCTTGTAAAACACCTATACTTACCAAAGAAGTGCATTTTTCCAAATAGTCCATTGGTATAATCAGCATGTGCACTATGGTGTATTGTATTTAGGAGAAGAATTTGAATTAAATGCATTTTTTTCCCAACTTTCCCATATACCTGCTGCTGTTGAGTTTGCTTCTATCTTATGCTGCATTTTTTTGTCTCTGTTGCAACCTGCTGCTATTTTGGGGCTCTACAGCAACATACTATTCATGTAGTGGTAAGTTCTCTTTTATGATTCTTGCTGACCCTGAAGAAATTAGCGAATGGTTAGCAAAAGTGTTCTAGAAAGAAATACACTGTGTGTCTTGACTGGGCCATATCTTAGATATTTTTAGATTAGTAGTAAAAGCTCACATTTGGTTCACTTTTACTGTATTAATGTAGTTTCAGTCTCATGTTTCATGCTTTTATTTAAGAATAGAATAATGATGTGGGGCTACAAATGATTCTTCAAAAGAAGCTTTTAAATTAGCTTTTTTGGGGCTGGGGATTTAGCTCAGTGGCACAGCGCCTGTCTGGCAAGTGCAAGGTCATGAGTTCGATTCCCGGTACTGGAAAAAAAACAAACAAAAAAAAAAATTAGCTTTTTTGTTTTGTTTGCTTCTTTCCTTAAGCTTCTCATGCCATCCTACCCTAAATTCTTTGCTTCAGTCAATAGGACATGTAAATACAAACTTCCTAATGGGAATTTCTGAACTTTGTTTAGGACAAATATGGTCTTGGAACAAGGCTTCAGCGACCACGAGCTGGTGCATCCATTAGTACCCTTGCTGGACTTTCGTAAGTTTGGACATTAAATGACTTGGAGGAAAAAAAAAGTTGGTATCAAAATATTTAAGTAATGTGATTTTTTTTAAAGGGGAAAAAGAAAAACATTTATGAATAGGGGAAAAGATTGTCATACTTAGAATAAATAAACTTTGAGAAGATCATATGGACTCTTGGGAAATTACTGCTTTTTTACCTTTTAGCCTGAAAGAAGGAGAAGACCAGAAAGAGATTAAGATTGAGCCAGCCCAGGCTGTGGATGAGGTGGAGCCTCTGCCTGAAGACTATTACACAAGACCAGTAAATTTAACAGAGGGTAATTTTATTCTTTCTGCCTATTTCTGTTCCACATGTTCTACTTTGCTTGCTTATATTCTTGTTATTAGAGACTTTTAGTAGGATGGGTGTTAGTATGGTAGCAAAATGACATGCAGAAAATAAAATACATGTAATAGATGTGAAATGAACTTTTAAATGCCTGTCCAGTTTCTGTACTGTAGTTGTGTGAACAGTACTCATGATAGTATTCCTTGACCTTATTGCCAGCTGCATGTAAGTCTGCTTTTGGAATTGACTGTAAACTAAGCTTGGTGTCTTCCTTTCATGCTAGTGACCACTCTTCAGCAGCGCCTCCTACAGCCTGATTTCCAGCCAATCTGTGCTTCACAGCTTTACCCTCGCCACAAGCATCTTCTGATCAAACGGTCCCTGCGCTGCCGGGTAAGTATTCTCTGTTAAATTCCTCTTCCTAAAAGAGAAAAGCAAAAAATAAACATGATTGGTAGCTGGCCAATGTAGTGAACATAGAAAACACTTATACCAAACATACTAGACACCCAGGAAGTATTTTAAATGCTTTCAATATAAACGCAGTCCTCACAATCCTATGGAGGTGGGTATAGATGTGGACACTGAGATATCTGAAGGTTATATACATAGTGCTGACCCCTAAAAGAATATGTAACATTTAGATTAGTAGAGGTGGGAAGAAAACAGTACAAAATAAATAATTTAAAAAGAAAAAGTAAATTTCATGTTCTAGGAATCAACTGAATAAACAACAGAGTTTTTTCAATAAATAAATTCTAAAAACAAACTAAAGGTAAATAAACCTTTTAGATCAATACCATCCCTCTAACTTTCTGTGATAGTGGAAATAGTCTTTGTCTGCACAGCCCAGCATAGTAGCCATGTGGCGAATGAGCACTTGAAATGTGACAGCAGAAATGAAGCACAGAATCTTTAATTGATTTAAATAACCATATGTGAATATGCTGTTGATACATGCTCCTGTCAAAAGCCCAGACTTTTCTTCTGGAGACTATAGTTTAGTATATCTGAGCTAAGACCAGGAAACCAACATCCTCACCCAGGGTCCAGTCACCAGACCTGAGATGTGGCGAGGAGGTGATTTTGTTGGTGCATCTTGCTTTAAAATCATCTTAGCAGAGACCAGAGGAAGGAGCGCCAAGATGGTGGAGTGGTAAGCAGCAGAGAAAGAGCCACTCAAGAGTCACAGTCCAGGTGTTGGAATATAGGAAGACAAGGAAAACAAAAAGGAGGGAAGTGGGCCCACTGGGCCCAGGAAGGATCTGAAGCATGAATTGAAGCCCACAGAGAGAGTGAAGAGAGAAACTTCAACAAAGAAGAAAGAGGTACTGGGCTACACCTTCTCCCTGAGATGGGACTCACTGTGCAGGAGTAATTCAAACCTTTGGACATACTGCTGGCAACCCACAGAGAGATTCAGCAGTGAAGGGGAGCAGCAGACATTAAGGACTGTACTAGCTGGCGGTAAGGGCTCATGGGTGATTGGCCAGGAGCCATCTTGGAGAGGGTCCAACTGAACTCAGAACCCAGAGTGAATTCCGGCTCCCTCTAGCGGCTCCCAGCTGGGCTCAGGCCCACACAAGGTGCGCCGACAGTTGCAGGCCAAATGAGTCTGGTCTCAGTCAGAAGGTACAGGTTCACTGAGATTATCCATTACCATGCCAGAAAGTTCCTCTGGCTTTCTGGGAAAACACAGACTGGGACGCTGTCTCCACACCTTTTCTACCAGTGACAACAGAGACATATTTAGAAGTAGACTTTTTTTTTTTTTCTTCTTTTTCTTTTATCTTGCTCTCGTTTGTTTTTTGTTCTGGTGGTTTTTTGTTGTGGTGGTGGTTTTTTGTTTTGTTTCGTTTTCTGTTTTTCTTCTCCTTCATTGATTGGTCTTGTTTGTATATGAGTGTGAGCCTCTTTGTGGTTGAGGATCTCTTCTGTTCTTTTTATCTCTTCCTCCTCCCTTACCCTGCAGTCTTCTGCACTAGTTTCCCAAAGTTAGGATGATCTTCCTTTGTCCTCTAGTCTTACTTCTATTTTGTTTTTGTTTTTGTTTTTT